GAAAATTTCCGTTTCCCCCCGAATTTTACATCTCTAAGTGTTCCTGTGGCCTCCTGGACTGGCCTTAGAGAAGGGAAGGGGATGGAGACCCACCAGAAATAAGGGGACGGAGCCTTTGGCCGCTGCCCTCGGCAGCCGATTTGGGGACAGGAGCTGCTGCTCCCCTGGTTAGCTGACTTTGGCAAGGGGCTGAGGGGCTGCAGACCAAAAATAAGGAAAACCCCAGAGGATGCGGGAGGTAGCCACGCTGAGCAGGTTGATGGGCGTGCGTGAATGTTCATAAGAAGCACACAGAGGCCCCTGCCACACGGCAGGGAAAACACTGGCCAAAGTGCGGCTTTTAAAAGCCGCACCAAAAAATCCCCTGGGTGTGTAAGAAAGGACCTTGAGAACTAAGACCTGATGCCACCCTTCCCTCCCTCCTTCTCATGACCTGCCTACGTTGTCCCAGCACTGGTTACGGTTTAAAGGCAAGGATCCCACAGAAGCAAAAAACTCTAAATGCTTTTGACATTAATTATTTGACTTAGGACAGACAATGTTCACTGCAGCTTGGAGACAGCATTTTCTGAAAAACACCAGGAGAGGAATTTACACCTCTAGCACAATAACCAGGAGAGGAATTTACACCTCTCGCACAATACGTTTGTACTGCTTTAGTGACACCCATCTTATGGCTAGTTTGCACTGAAGTATGAAAGCTGTCTTTGAGCACATCACAAGCAGGTAGGACTGAAGTAACTGAATGCTCCACCATACAAACCATTCCCTGCACAAAAAACCCAGTAGCTATGGGTCCGAGGCGAATCACAGATGCAAAGAGAAATGGAAGCACTAACACACCAGGCCAGCTAGACATTTCCTAGCCTTTTAGCAGGTGGCTTAAATGCCAGGGTTCAGCCAGCATGGGCATATCAGGTTCCACAGCCAACAACTGAGTACACGCTTATCAGAAAGGTTATACTTTATTGAAGAGCTATAGATGCATTAACAAAGGCACTGTTAAGAATGGCGTCGCCCCTACAAGCATAATGGGATATAGGGTATTCGTATGCGCACACTCGTTCCTTAGGCCAATTAGCCACATTCCCGCACACGGGAGAAGGAGCCCCAGGCCGTTAGAGCCGAAGCTGAGAACTGAAAGCGCTCCAACGGTTCCCTAGAATCCCAGACACTACACAGCACCTGCAAGGCCATAGATAATCAAGCATTACAGAAGCCAAGAAGGAATGCAGCAGACTCGGCAAGCAAGCACCCCACCCCCAACCCTTATGGCAGCATAGCTGACAGGGCAGAGGCAGAAAAAATGGCTAATGGCTGCGTAGCCCCTTTTGCAGATTATTTTAATTCTACAGCTCTGTTACCCCGTTGGCTTCCTACTAGCAGGAAACTGAGGGACTCGTCCTTTCACTTTGGTGAGAGCTGGAGTTCTGTGGTTCAAACCCAGAGTTGCTGCGGAGCATTTGCCGGCTCTTCCTGCTAGCTGACCAAGGCTGTTGTGCTCTGGTGCTTTTGACAGACTCTAGATCACCTCTGCTAATCTTCCCTGCATGGGCCATTCATTTACCCATTAAGCTTCCCTGCCAGCTGCAGCGGCATCATGGGAGTTTGCAACACAGAGGAAAGGGATTTTAGCGTGTTGCCCATGTGAGTTTGGCACCTGGAGTTACTATTCGTACTGGGTCTAATACTGGGTATGCTGGCCAAAGGACCAAAGCCCTTGGCTACAGAAAGAGAAACAGTTCTGTGTCGATAGCCAATGACGTAGGTAAAAAGGTTAGCAACCAGTGCTTATAAAATAGATTGCAACCAGGGTTCCCCCTAAGCTGAGTTAGTGTGAGCTAGCTCACAGTTTTTTAGCCTCCAGCTCACAGATTTTTGTCTTAGCTCAGGAAGGAGGGCTCCAGAGCAAACTGATTTGTGCAGCAGCCAAATTGCTCGCTCACACCTTTAATACCAGCAGCTCACAAAGTAGAGTTTTTGCTCACAAGACCCCACAGCTTAGAGGGAGCATTGATTGCAAGATTGTAGTCTTGAGTGCACCCAGCAGCAGATCTTTAAACCTGGCCTGGGAGTCTTTCCACAGACAGCTCCTACTGAATTCTGAGATGACGTTCCTGCTCTCGGGTCAAATTTAGGAAGGATACGGTTGGACAGAGCCAGGTGTTTGTCACGCTGCAGTAATGGTTCCCTTGAACATTTAACCTGGCTGTTCCAATGCAACCAAGTTGCTGAAACGAACCCAAATCCTTTTTTTTTAAACAGGATTGTTAACTTGAATCTCCTGTAGGGGAATAGCACCCTCAGCTGGATTTGAATTCTACAACGGAGTGGTACTCTCATATTATGGGTGCTCCAGAAGAGCTGCTTTTGAACTTTCCATTGTCATGGCAGGAACCCTTTCTTGCCTGCTGAGGAGCCCGCTGTATGTTGTAGAGGATTCCAAGGAGTGCACACACTCCTGTTTTGTGGGGATTAATGGCTTCTTTTTGGGCTCGGCATTGTCATGTGTGATCTGAGGATGCATCCGTGGGATGCTTCCCAACTCTCCTCTTTAACTGCATACTGCAGGGGAAGATAAGGAACGGGCAGGGCAAACTGTCTTCTTGGGGAAGGTTACCCACCATCACTGAGTTTCCAAGGAACTCTCAGATTCCTTCTAATGTAGTTGAGTTGAGTTGAGTTTTTATTGCTACGGTCTTAAGACCAACATACAGAGTAAGCATATTATGTTCTAATGCAGTTTGAAAATCATTCGTCCATAATGCTAGGAATTATTTTGGAACTCAGGATCAGATATAAGAACATAAGAACATAAGAGATGCCAATGTTGGATCAGGCCAAAGGCCCATCCTGTCCAACACTCTGTGTCACACAGTGGCCAGAAATACCAGTGCCATCAGGAGGTCCAGCAGTGGGGCCAGGACATTAGAAGCCCTCCCACTGTTGACCCCCCCAAGCGCCAAGATGACAGAGCATCCCTTGCCCCAGAGTCCCTATCTATACCTTGTGGCTAATAGCCACTGATGGACCTCTGCTCCATATGCTTATCTAATTCCCTTTTGAAGCCGTCCATGCTTGTAGCCGCCACCACTTCCTGTGGCAGTGAATTCCATGTGTTAATCACTCTTTGGGTGAAGAAGTACTTCCTTTTATCCGTTCTAACCCGACCGCTCAGCAATTTCATGGAGTGCCCACGAGTTCTTGTATTGTGAGAAAGGGAGAAAAGCACCTCTTTCTCTACCTGCTCTTTCCCATGCATAATCTTATAAACCTCGATCACGTCTCCCCTCAGCCATCGTTTCTCCAAGCTAAAGAGCCCCAAGCACTTTAACCTTTCTTCATAGGGAAAGTGTTCCAACCCTTTTATCATTCGAGTTGCCCTTTTCTGCACTTTTTCCAAAGCTATAATATCCCTTTTAAGGTGTGGTTTGAAAATCATTAGTCCATAATGCTAACCTGGAATTATTTTGGAACTCAGGATCAGATATGGAGAATGCAGATCACGAGTGGCCTGCAAATGAGTGGGAGTCTCACAAATTACAATGCCGCTCTTCAAGAAACCCTTGGCATGCCCCAGTCTCCTCCCAAAATGCAGATCTGCAGCCTGTTGTCTACCTGAGAGATCCCAGGGGAGCCCCCCTATGGCGTTGGAGGTCAGGTTCAAACCAGAGCTTTTTCGACTCACTCCTTCTTAGCCTCCTGGCACCACCACCTCTGTTCTGTCCTCCTTTGCCTTCTTGGCAAATACACAGAGGCCAGTATATGTGCAGGAGCAGAGTGGCTGGATTCCGATACTATTGTATTCATCGCTGTAAGCCACAACGTAAGGGTTTTCTTGAATCCCCTGGGACATCTCTGCATTTCCCACCAGAGGAACAGGACTTCCTTTGCTCTTCCCTCCTTCTGAGCCCTGAAATGGTCCCTCAAGGGCTGCTCTTAGGAGGTCGGGACCAATGTTCCCTCTAAACTGTGGAGTCTTGTGAGCAAAAATTCTACTTTGTGAGCTACTGGCATTAAAGTTGTGAGTAAGTGTTTTGGCTACTGCATAAATTAGTTTGCTCCGGAGCAAACTTCCTGAGCAAAGACAAAAATGTGTGAGCCGGAGGCTAAAAAACTGTGAGCCTAACTCACACTAACTCAGCTTAGAGGGAACATTGGTCGGGACAGTATGAGCGACCTGGTGGGCGTGTCTGTAAAACGTCCCCTGCGTTTGTGGCAAACAGCTGCTCATTGTCTCGGCCTGTGAATTTTCCCTCCCAGAGCTGAAGCTCAAGATGTCCGAAGAACAAAGCTGCCCCTTCAAAGCACCCCAACAAAACTCACACCGGGACAGCTCCAAGGAGACCGTGAAGCAGGATGCAGCCCGGGCGCCCCCAAGTCCATCTGTAGAAGAAACCATGGACGCCGTGCTGAAGCGACTGAAGGAGAAGCGACAGCAGTTCAACATCCCCGAGAATATCAAGGTACGTGGCTCGTGCTGGCTCAGTTCACCGAGGTCAAGCGAAGTCTGACTGCTAGGCCTCAGCCTAAACCCCTCAAAGGGAGTGGCGACCTCCAGGTCCCATTCATTTAGTGTCTGTGGCATCAAAAATGGCAGCAGGAAATACCTTTTGGTTCTGTTAGGAAGACCGAGGAAGGTAAGGAAGTGATTTACCATTCGAGCAAGATGTGTAGGTGCCGGTCATTGTTTCTTTATGAACCTTCCGGGCAGGAAGGGTCGTATAAAAAGACAACAACATCTAGACAAAGGGTGACAGGAAGTAGGTGTGTGTCAACCGCTCACTCCTTCTTTGAAGAAGCGGTCTTAATGATGTAGACCAGAGGCAGGCAACTTGTTTCGGCCTGAGTCTCACCAATGATGTACTGTCCATCTGGGCAGATGTTGATGTTCCGGCCAACAAAAGAGAGTGGGGGGGGGGAGACTTGTACATGGCCAGACGTATCGGGAGTGACCAGTAATGCTGTCAGTGACACGTTATGTTTTTGCTGGGCACATTCCCAGGTTGATGCACAGATGGGTTCTGGGAGCTCCGTGCTGTTCAGGTGGAGGGGGACCTGATTCGTACTGGGGCCACGGCATGCAGAGAGAAGGGGCTTAGACCTGGTAATGCCCTGGGAAGCTGCTGACATGTCCACAACAGGGCAAATAATCAGGCTTTGTAGAGCTGTTTCAGGTCAAGAAAACTGTGTGTGGGGAGCCATATCTAAGCCTCTTCTCCTCCCCCCATGTTGAGGCTGTGATCTAAATAGGGACCCCCCCCCCCAAGTGGGAACCCACGCCCCTCAGTCTGTAAGACCTGAGGCAAGACTGTTAATGAAAGGATGTTTGGGAGGACGTTATTTCATAGGTTTGGGAGCTCTGCCATGAGTCAGAAACACACACACATGCACACACACACATATATACTGGGAAGAACAGGCCTTCTGGAACATATCCATGAACAATCTGGGTATGCACATGGGGAAAATGTACGTGGGCCTCCTGGTGGCACCTGGTGTTTTTGGCCACTGTGTGACACAGAGTGTGTTGAACTAGATGGGCCATTGGCCTGATCCAACTGTGGCTTCTCTTATGTTCTTATGAGGGGCATAAGTTCTGCCCGTAGCCTTCTTCCCATGTCATTTGGCCCAGCAGCACTGCCAGTGTCTTGGCTGCTTGAGCAAAAGGAGCAAAATGGTTTGGCTTGCTGCTGCTAGGGGTTGCCTGCCCCTGTTTTAGGCCACGTGATAGTAAAAACCCCGGCCTGTTGTGGAACATGATAGGGGAAAAAAAACAACAGTCCAGAGATGCTTGACATGTTGGTGTAGTGGTTAGGAGTGCGGACTCTAATCCGGGAGAACCGAGTTTGATTCCCCACTCCTCCACATGCAGCTGCTGGTGTGACCTTGGGTCAGTCACAAGTTCTTTCGGAGCTGTTCTCTCAAGGGCAGTTCTCGGGAGAGCTCTCTCAGCCTCCCCCTACCTCACAGGGTGTCTGTTGTGGGGAGGGGAGGGGAAAGGGATTGTAAGCCGCTCTGAGACTCCTTTGGATAGTGAAGGGCGGGGTATAAATCCAATCTCCTCTTCTTCTTCATATTTTACTGGGTCGTACTCTGTGTCTCCAGATAAGATGACTTAATTTAACTGTGGCGATGGCCAGATGGAAGCTGCCGGAAAGCTCTTGCCCATTTAGGCATTCTTCAGTACTGGGATCCGGATTCTTTGCTTGGGAGCCACACATGTGCAGCATTTGCAGATCTGTGGCTCGGATAGACGCCACGCTGCTGTGTAGACGTGGCATGTGCAATAGGAGGGGTGGTGGCTCAGCTGGTGGAGCATCTGCTTAGCCTGCAGAAGGTCCAAGGTTTAATCCGTGGCATCTCCAGCTAAAGAAGGATTAAGTAGTAGGTGGGGTGGAAAACCTCCATCAGGGACCCTGGAGAGCTGCGGCCAGTCAGAGTAGACAATACTGACCTTCATTGGCTAGCGATCTGATTCAGTATAAGAGACGGTCATGTGTACAGGAGGGACGGACTCTTTTGAACCAGGGGTGAGGCTTTGGCTCCGTTTAAGGTAGCTTCAGGTGTTTGTTTCGGAGAGGGGCTGAAGCGCAGTGGAAGAGCCATCTGCTTCGCATGCAGAAGGTCCCAGGTTCAGTCTCCACTTTAAAAGGACCAAGTAGTAGCTGATGTGTCAGACTTCCATCTGGAGAGCTCCTGCCAATCAGAGGAGACCACACTGACCTTGATAGACCCAATGGCCTAACTCCGTGTAAGGTAGCTATTCATGTGTTCGTAGAATCACAGAGCTGGAAGGGGCCGTACAGGCCATCTAGTCCAACCCCCCCTGCTCAATACAGGATCGGCCCAGAGCATCCCTGACAAGTGTTTGTCTGGCTGCTGCTTAAAGACTGCCAGGGAGGGGGAGCTCACCACCTCCCCGGGCAGCTGATTCCGCTGCTGCGCAACTCTTCCTGTCAAAAAGTTTTTCCTAAGATCCAGCCGGTATCTTCCTGCTGTTAATATAAACCCATGATTGTGAGTCCTCTCGTCTGCTGCCAACAGGAACAGGAACCTAGCCCGTGGTCCCAGAATCCAAATTGCTCCTGCCGACACCACCAACACAGCCAGTGGTTCACCTCCATTACCATCTGTTCCCGTCGTATTCTCCTTCCTATGACAGGAAGGATCGAAGAGAACACCACCTGTGCTCCCATTCCCTTCAGCTTCCTCCCAAGAGCTTCATAGTCAGCCTTAATGCCTTCGATGGTGTTCATGGCTGTGTCGTTGGTGACTTTAGGGATCCTATCTGTAATATCTTTAATTTTCGCCCCTGTTCTAATGGCACGGTGTGCCATCTCGCTCGACACTTTTGGGGTCCTGCTGTAGCACTCTGGGGAGTCTCGTTAGGACAGTCAACCACACCGTTGTCCCTTTGACTGGTCTCTCCTTCCCTATGCAGGACATCAAGGGTTCCGTTAATGAACTCCTCCCCTTCCTTGATCTCATGGACAGTAGTAATCCTTTCCTCCAGGCTTCGAACCTTCTCCTGTAAGAGTCCCATCAACTTACACTTCTGACAAGTAGTCCTATCAACTTACACTTCTGACAGGTGTAGTCCGTCTTGTCCTCAGGGAGGAAGACAAACATGGCACACTCCCCGCAGGTGACTGGAAATTGTCCTTGAGCATTCATCATCACTTCTCGAAGTGGATTCTTTCACCTAGAAATACCTTGGTGTGTCGACGTCTCCTGAAACTTCGAGAACTGACCAAATGACTACCACTCCAGGAGCCCTCTTTCTGCTCTTTGGCAGAGCCCAGCTAACTGATTTAGTTCTAGAGGAAGGACCCTTTTAAACTAGGGGTATACATTTTGTTTAATAAAGCAACTCTTTATAAAAATGTTATGATTAAAAATATTAACACACTTAGATCTAGCCCGCGGGCATGTTCTTACATATTAGAAGGTCTGCTTCTGATGTTAACATGCAAATTCTCTGGTATCCGTCTTGTGTGCAAGCAGTTAACAGTAAAGATAGCATTGGAACTGGCATTTTCCAAGCCTTGGAAAACATTTAAAATATTAACAGCAGTATGTAAACGATAAACGAAGAGGTGGAAAGTCTACAAAGGGAAGTGCTTTTGGGGGTTCTCCTTGTGGTGATTGTCATGTTAAGACTGGCTTTGAATTAGAGTTTCAGTGCAGTCATTTTGTGACCCGCATTGCATCAAATGGCAGGATCCAAGGCCATGAGGTTGAATTCAGAGCTGTGGCATTCTTGCTCTAGGCCAGTGGTGGCGAACCTATGGCACGGGTGCCAGAGGGGGCACTCAGAGCCCTCTCTGTGGGCACGCGTGCCATCGCCCCAGCCAGGCCCAGACCATCATTAAAGTGTCGAATTCTCTGCCAAATAATTTTAAGTAAATGAAAGCATTTGGGATTGCTTTCCTTACTATGTTTGGATCATCTTAAGTTAATGTATGAGTTGTTTTTTCTAAAGTAAAAACTCAGTATTCAGGTTAAATTGCCGTGTTGGCACTTTGCGAGAAATAAGTGGGTTTTGGGTCGCAGTTCGGGCACTCAGTCTCTAAAAGGTTTGCCATCACTGCTCTAGGCGGAGTTCTCTGTAGACTTAAGGGGAGTCCATGAAGCATCACAATACCAAAGAGCCATTTAAACCATTTCAAAAAACCCACCTACGCTTCAAGCCAGTAATGGCACTGTTCTTCATTCACTTAAAAAAGGAAGTATCTGCCGCCTGTGTTGGCATCCTTCACTTTAAGGATGACAGAACAAAGTTATGCCAAGATGCACAATCTCACTGCCCCCCCCAAAAAACCTTTCTGTATGCAGGGCTTGAGGAAATTCTGTTTCAGTCATTATCTGAGGAAGTGTGCTTACACGCGAAAGCTCATACCTTGGATAAAACTTGGTTGGTCTTAAAAGTGCTGCTGGACCGAAGCTTTGTTCCGCTGCTTCGGACCAACACGGCCACCCACCTGAATCTATCTTTAAGAATGACAGACCAACATGACCTGGGAGATAATTTTGTACTGATTGCTTGCCTGTATTGAGCCTCTGCGGCCTCCTCACTTCTACCCCGGCAGCCAGGGCAGCAGCCCAGTGGTGTTCTTTTCAGACAGAGAGATTGTGTGTGTGTGTGTGAGCGCCCTTGTGTGTTACTGGCCTTGGTTATCCCATGGACTTCATGGCCGAGGGGCCCAAGATGTTAGAGTGGAAGGCACGACAGTGTGCATTGACTTATTTCCCCCAAGGCAAGTAAACCATTCGGGGGGGGGGGGGAGAAAGGCCATGAAAACAGTTAAACGAAATGTCACAAACCAGTGTAAGATCAAGCAGCACTGTTTTTGAAGCCGGCTCATGCCATTCTAACAGCTTTCTAAGAGAGGATGGCTTTCGTCGTCACCCTCCCAAGTGCCAGCAGTGAGATCCTAAGCGACACCCTTGTAAGTGTGAGCTT